TTTTTTTTTTTTTTTTTTGATTTTCGAGACAGGGTTTCTCCATAGCTTTTGGTTCCTGTCCTGGAACTAGCTCTTCTAGACCAGGCTGGCCTCGAACTCACAGAGATCCGCCTGCCTCTGCCTCCCAAGTGCTGGGATCAAAGGTGTGCGCCACCAACGCCCAGCTTTGCTATGCTTTTTCTTGTCTTCCTTCCTTCCTTCCTTCCTTCCTTCCTTCCTTCCTTTCTTTCTTTCTTTTTTGGTGAATACATTTTACTTTATCAGAAATTATACTTAACATAATTTCACTGTAGACAATGAAAATGCTTTCACAGACTCATGATTAGAATTCAACAAACTGCATACAAAATGTCCTTTTCAATTCTGGATGTTACAGGTGTTTTGAGAAGCAGTATTTTTACTATTTATTTCTGCAATTGATTGTAGTTAAGACCCTGGCTCCACTTTTGTCTTTGACTTCAGATTTTAAATATTAGTCCCAATTACGAAATATTTTACAATATTGAATTCTCTCTCTTTAAGATTTATGCTAATATGCAAATAAAGAATGTTGATAGAGCTATATTATAATGTATACATACATAATACATAATATAATATACACATATAATTTGTTGGTATACAAAAGAGTTTCAAAATAGCCCAGAAAGGAGTATAGCAAAGATTTATTTATTTGTAAATAAACTCACTGAGATAGTCGCAATCTGTAGTCTTCTGCATGTGCTGGGAACTGGAACCTAATCCAGCAACCAAGAGGCTTACACATGCTTTCCATCAGTAGATGAGACCACGCCCAAAGTGGGCTGGTATCTTCAGGGCTATTGGCTGAAGGAGTTTCTACAGCACCTCCCCCTTTTGTCTAAACAAGAGAATTATAAGTCTAATATAAAACAATATACAATAAGAATATCAAGTATTGACCAGGGAAAAGAAGAGGAAAGAATATACATAAAAATTAGCATGAACAACATCAAACAATAAACATATGCTAAATGTTTCAATGGTTATCCTATCCTAAGGAGTTTAAGTCTTATATTAAAAATGGCTTGGCTAAGTCATGAGAGGAAAGTAACTATGACTATCTAGTCTTCAACCCCATCAAATATCTGAGAAGGGAAATAATATTACTTGAGTAAACAGGAAGTGCAATCAAACAAAGGGTGTAAAAAATGCAGAAACAATTGGCTACCTGGGCAATCACCCAAAGTCTCATTTGCAATGTTGGGGCAACCAACTTTAGCTAAGGCCTAGACTAACTGACAGACCATTTTCAGAGGCAGGAAAGTCTGAAAAACAATCTTACCCTGTCTCAGCAAGGTTTTGCTTATATCCTGCTGGTCTAGTCTGGACACTGTGTATTTTGTTAGTAGTTGAGACGGAGGCAGTTGAGACAAAGGCTAGTTTTCTCAAGAATAAAACAAGCTCCAAGTGGAGCGTATTCAGTGTCCAACATTCTCTTGGGAATAGATCAGTGCTTCCAGGAGAAATGTGTTTCATGTCAAGAGAATCCTAAGTTATTTAAAAGTCATAATTATAGTTCTTTGAAGTGTTTGAAGATTAACTCTATGTGGAATACAATCTGTATGCATCTAAAGAACCTGATTGGTCTAGCTATAAGTATGACAAACATGGATGACTATTGACCTGTAATTGTTAATACTTATATAGCTTAAAGACTAAGACTTCATATTTAAAAAATTAAACAATCTTTAAACAAATATGCAGCAAATAAGGACAATGACCTCAAAATGTAAATAATATATAAGCATCTTGATCAGAGATAGAAATGAATACTGCAGTATGATAAATATATCCTAAAAGTGCATGAATATACAAAATATCTTCAGCAGAGGTAGAAACATGAATGCATACAATATGATAAAATAACTTTGCAAATGTGCACAAATACCATAAAGAGAAATAGGAGCATAGTCAATATAACAAATATAATTTGAATTTGTATCAATATACAAGAATGTAAATTGTCTATAAATAATAGCTCATAGCTATTCACTCTATTACTCATTATCATTATTATTATTAGTAGTAGTAGTAGTATGAATAAGCTCATACTATCCTACTTAGTATCCCAACCCATGTTGGGCGTCATGTTTAAGTGGAGACTACTTGTTTGTTCCTGGCCACCCAGGTCCCAATAATCACACAGAAACTATATTAATTATGACATTGTTTGGCCAATAGTTTAGGTGTGCTCCAACCTAGCTCTTATATCTTAAATTAACCCATTTCTATTCATCTGTGTATCATCACGAAGCTGTAGCTTACAGGAAAGGTTCCAGCAGTGGCATCTTTCTCCTTCAGCAGCTACATAGTGTCTCTATGACTATGCTTACGCTATATATCTCTGTTCAGACTTCCCACCTGGCTTCACTGCAAAGCCTTGCCTAAAACAGCTTTATTCATCAACCAATAAAAGCAACACATATACAGAAGGACATTCCACAACACTAGAATGATATTCACTTAAGCTGACAAGTGTTTATCCCCCACCCCACACAATGTTAGAGACGCTTAGTCAACTGGTGGCAAAGTGACCCTGCCCTGGCTGGCCGTGTGCAGGTGTGCTAAGATCACCACATGGCAGATTTGTGAGTCAGCACCCAGTCGGTGATGTGCTATGCAGATTCAGCTGCCTTCAAGGGGTCCCTGCTCCTGTAACCCTTCACCCGTGCTCCTGGAACTGATCTTGGTAAACTCATTGGCTTATCAAGTTGGTCTATGGTGTGTCTTAGTTTGATGGGAAACATTCCCCCCCTGGGCTAATGTATTTGAATGAGTACTGGCAACACCTAATCCTACCCAGTTTGAACTTATCTAACCAGCAGTGTTTATTTCAGGAATTTGATGTAAGTGGGTTTAAAATTGTTACATATTCTTAATGGATCATTCTCCTTAGGAACAATTACCTTCTTTATCTCTTCTTTCCAATTAAAAATTATTTCTATCTCTTTAATTGTGCGTATATGTGTGCCTGTGTATTGGTAGGTGAATTTGAGTGCAATGACCCTGGAGGAAGCCAGAAGAGACCCACTGGAGCTGGAGTTACAGGCAGTTATGAGCAGCCTGATATGGATTCTAGGCACTCAACTCAGGTCATCTGGAAGAGCAGCAAGTGCTATTTATGAGTTGTTTCTCCAACCCCTCTTCTGCCTGATTCAGATGATTTTTGCCTAACATTGTTAGGTATGCCATTTGCATCCTGATATTTTCAGCCTGTACCAAATGAGGGCATTTATTGTGGACAGGAAATAATGGGATCCTATTTTTCAATCCAGTCATCTAGTATTATTTAATTAGAGACTTTAGATCATGATTATTTTGACAGGTATTTACTAATTCCCATCATTTTATTGCTTATTTACTTGATTGGCTATAGGTTTTATTTTATGTGCATTTCTTTGGACCCCTCTTTGCTTTAGGGACTTGCTGATTTATTGAGTTGGCCATGATTGGTTCTTTCTTAGTTCCTTCTAGTTCCTGTGCTCTTCACTCTGGCTTCTTCCTCTGTGGATAGATTCCCATCAGTATCTTCTGCAATGTTGCCTTGATAACTATGGATTGCATCTGTGCTCATCTGGAATGCTTTTATTTATCCATCAATTTTAGAAGATCATGTTAGTGGATAAAGTTTCCTGGTTGGCATTTATTTACTTTCAGGGCTTAGAATGCATCACTAGACCCTCTCCTGTCTAAGAGAGGTTTCTCAGGTCGAACTTAGAAGTCGAGCTGTTATCACGGAGTTGCCTTTCTATGAGAATTGGGTTTCTTCTTGTTGTTGTTTTCCTCTTGCATCTTTTAATATTGTTTCTTTATTTCATGGCCTCAGCACTATAATGTGCTGTGGAGAGATTCTTGTCGTGGATGTTTGTGTGTTAGGAGTCCTGACTGCTTTTTCCTATGCTTGGATGGGAGATTTCCAGATTAGAGAGCATTTCTTTTTAATTGCGTTGAACAGATTTCTCTATGTCCTCAGATTCCTTTTCATTACAAGAGCCTTCTACCCAACAGTTTGTTTGTTTATTTTTCTCTCGGTCACATCACCGAGTTCTTAGAAGCTGTGGTTACTGGTTTTCTTTTTCCTTTATTAATGTCCAAACGTAGTAGTTCTTCGGATTCCTATGCCTGAAACTCTTTCTTATTCCTATGCCTGATACTCTTTCTTATGTTTGGTCTAGTCTGTTGGTGAGGATTTCCATTATTTTTGTTTGTATCTTTGTTTGAGTGGAGTATTTTATTTCCAACATTTTTGTCCTTTTTTAGCCCCAAATCTCACTTTATTTTTTGCTGAATTTGGCATCGGGGTTGCAGATTGCCTCTTGTATGTTGCCGACTTTCTCAGTGACATCTTGAATTTATTTCCTTATTTCTTTCACTTACCCATTTCCTTTTTGAAATCCTCAATCATTTTTATTAATTAAATTTGTTCTTTGATAATCTCACTCATGTGTATAATGAGTTATGATTGCTCTCACCCCACCCTCTCTTGCCTGCCCTTCTCTTAACTGCTTCCTACTGGTCTCGTTCTCACACTCATTTCTTCTTATTTGATTTGTGTGTCTGTGGATTCTCCTGGGCTGTCTGCACAGCCCTGGGATTGGAACTATACACTGGAGCTTGATGTGCTCATCACTAGATCCGCAATTGGAGACAATGACTTCCCCTCCCCCAGATCCTATTAGCAACCACAGCTCATCAG